TCAGTGTAATAATTCAGCACTGCACTGATTCTGACTACCTGAGGTGTTCTTGGTGACAAAGCAAATAGGAAGACAATAGTAGAAAAAAGAGAGGGAAGCTAAGGGAAGGAATGACAACCCTTCATGAAACTTCACAGGACTGTAGTCTCAGTCTCTGCCAGTATGCATTCCAAGTGTTCAAGAATTTATAGTCAAGTGGCATCCAAATATGAATAATACTTTTATAGCATATGAGTTCACTTGTACAGAAATCAGCTGCTGCACATGAATGATCTTCCTTGAGTTTTATTATTTTAAAAGGGGAAGAATTTAGCAGACATATCCCAGTTACCAGAAAAACACACTGACTTTGAACAATTCTAATCAATTCCAGCTTCTGCCTTTTGATGTGTTAATATTTTTAAAAGAAACAACCATATGGGAGATGTTAGTTTAGTCCATTTGAGATAAGTAATAGAATCTTAGCATAAATAAGAGATTATTGAACTTCAATTTAGTCCACATATTTGATGATTAAAATTCTTGGGAATGTTCTCCATGTGCAAGTGTTTTGTATAAAATTATCAAATGTACATTTTAGTTTCTAAAACTAAAGCTTCTGTCCTGTGCACAATTACCCCAAAGCAATGGGAATTAACATTTGAAGAGGTACATATAGGATTGTGCTATAAATGTTCTATAAGATCATTATAACTTGTTCTAAAAATAATAAAACAGGAATTAAAAAACAGACCTGACAACTCTGCCCTCTCCTGCCTGCCTGCCTGCCTGCCTGTCTTGTTCTTTTGCAACAAAAACCAAACTTAGTATTTTTTCCAAAGAATGCTTCTCTAGTAGAATAGCAATGGGTAAGGTATAGCATAATCTTTGTTTACTTTAGAGACCTTTCCCAGATGGAACATTGAATTAGCACAAACAAAGCTTGTAGCAAAGCTGCCAAACCCACCAAGTGTCAGCAGTGATAATGTTATTGTACTGATAATATTTAAGAATTGGAAGGGCATGATTCTGCTACCATTGACAGTTATTTTACTGCTAACTCTAAATTCATCTTTAAAATAGACTGGTGGCTCATGGAAAAACGCTTGTAATCCAGGTGAAAGGCAAAACAGTTTTGCAGTGACATTCAGCTTACCCCCATCATGGCAACCCTACTGATAAGTGCCCACACCCCTTAGTATTAGGATACAGTGTAGGGTAGTGGTTAAGAATACAGGACTGGGAGCTCCAGGTTCTAGTCCCTACTCAACTGGGTGACTTCTGGCCAGTCACAGAGTCTCAGTCCAAGCTACCTCACAGGTGGTGAGGATTTTGAGGAGGAGAATTATTTTCCTTGGAAAGAAGGTAGGATATAAATATAATAAGCAAGAATAAAAAGAGCATTAGGAGTGGGCTGGTGTAAATTGGTGACCTGCAACATCAGAGGGTTGGGTCTGATGGTCTTCTTGGCCCCTTCCAACTCTACTATTCTATGATTCTATGAGGAGGTAATCTTTTGTCTAAGAACATCACTCCAAGCTGGATCATTTTACTATTGTGGCAAAAGAATGGTAGCTATTAACTTACATAGGAGTAAGTAAAGTGGTAAAATTGAGATCTGGGTTGAGACTCTTTTCTGTCCTTTGATGGCTCACCCATGAATAATCAAATGTATGCCTATCTGTACAACTCACTGCTTTATTTGAATAACCTGATTCTGTGCTCTGTTTACTGGTCACATTATGGCAGAGTAGATATCTAGGGAATGTGCAGGTATGTCCCTGTGTTTGTATGTAATATAATAGACTATATTGATGTGGCCAACTGTTTCTTGGGCATCCCAGTCTGTAGGATTTCTTCCCACACAGTTGTTGAAAGGGCTGAAACAAACAGAAAAGCATAGTTAAGGGGAAAATTTCTTCTGAAGTTTGGTAGAACATTCATCTACTGAAGATACAGGGTTGATCCAATTTGCCATTAAACTCAAGTCAATTGATGGCAAGTATGTGGAAATTTTTAAAAACAATAATATAAAAAACTGTTTGAAGAGCTCATGTGTATAATTTGCTGAAAAACTATCCTTCAAAGTACAAACAAACTTGAACACAGCATTTGAACCAATTTCTCAGTTTGGTTTTATAGATGGAGTACTGTAAAGTGTAACATTTGTAATTAGATGACTTGGCTAAAGTTTAGCATTTCAGTGTGAGATTTAAGCACATGCATAAAACTTTCCTGTTGAAACATGCTTTGTCTGGGATTATGATAGTTTGGAGAAAACCACACACACTTGCACACACACACTCCATACAACCTAAATGACCTTTATTAACAACGAAGTTTTTCACGTTTCTAACTTTAGTACTCATTTTACAGAATATAGTTTTATTTTATTTCCAAGATTTTGGAGCACTTACATATTCTTATTAATTATATGTATGCTGTATTTCACATACCTCTAATGAAGTAGTTTATGTTTTTAAAAAGTATGAAAAGCATAGAATTATCAATTTTAGTAGTTGCAAATGAACAGCAAACTATCCTTTTTCAATAAGCCCATGAGCATTATTTTGCTACAGTTAAAAACCTTTGATTTCGAATAGAGATAATTGAGTTTGGACTAAAGTCTTCTCTTGAAATGGATGGTATTTAATGGTGCTTAGTTATGGCTGGATTGCACCCTGCCTTTTTAATTTTTATGATAATCTCTGAGTAGACCAGACATATTGTCATTATATGAAAGAGGAATTTAAGCAGAGAGCAACATGCTTACCTTTTAATGGTGTCATCTTCTGGGAATATAGTTCTGAAATGGGAGACCTTGTCAACAGATGGAAACTGGCAGGGTCTGATGAAGAAGAATAGATAGCATTAGGTAGATGGAAACCACTGCAGAAGGATTGGGCACCCCAAGACAGTGGCACTGAATTTATTTTCAACTTGGGACTTCAGATGGGGAAATGAAATGATTAGGTCTGCCTTACAGTTTAAGTGGACTAAAAAGATGAAAGAAAAATGAGCTTTTAGATAATAAAGAGTACATGTTCTGTCTCCTTCAGACACCTGCCTAACCTTTTATTTAAGTGCCACCATTTATCAAGTTCTGTTTACAGTGTAAAGACTTTAATGTAGAGCTTATCATTGGGGTGCTTTGATACTTAATCCTTCTAAAGCTGGTCTTTGAAATGCCTTTATAATGATAAGGTTTGCAAAAGTGACAGGTTCTCTGTCTCATCTTACTTAAAGGCTTAGATAAAAGAGAAGAATACCTTGCAGGGGATATTATATATCCTTCACACAGAACTTTTTGCCACATTATAACACCCTCTAAATGTAACAAAATACAAAGCCACTAGTGCTTGAAAGTTTCACATAAGAAACAACTATATTTACATCAGAAGTTCTACCAAGCTTTATTTGGAAGCACACTTGTTTTCAGGGTAGTTATATGGATGCTGTTATGCTTAGTTTGCATATGTAAGTGATGTAAATATAATTCTAGGATAGCATGCTCAGAGATATTTACATTTGCAGAAAATTAGAGTTATGTTAATAACATTAATATTTGGGAAAATCAGGTGGCTGGAAAGTAAGTTTCATTCAAAGTTTAGTGGTCCTTTGGTGGCCCTCTTCCTCCTCTGGGCATTGTGGAGAATCGAAATTGCAAATGGACTCAACCATCTGATGTTTCTCAGAGCATAAGAATCATGTATTGATTTATTTAAACCATTTTAATGATTGTAAGCCACCCCGAGGCTTATGCGATGGGGCGGCATATAAGTTGTCTAAATAAAGAAAGAAAGAAATTTCTTAGCCACCATTCAAGACAAACTTCCCATGGCAGTATGAAGCATAAAAGCAATAAAGGTGTCTATGCCTTCTTCTTTACTAATAATTTGTTGGTGGGGAGGGTACCACAACCATCTGTTGCAGCAGAAACAACAAAGTGTCCTGTGGTGCCTTAAAGATGAACAAATTGTGAACACTGTCTTGTTCATCAGATGCATGAAGTGTTAATCTCACATTGGCAAATTCAGGTGTGAAGTGAAGTCAGAAGGAATGGAAATGCAGAAAATATCATGGCTTTAATGGTGGCCATTCACAAAATGACACCGAAGCAGTGGTGCTACTGTGCTCTCCTGAAGCACGTGTGTATACTTTCGTTAATTTGAGATTAACACTTCATGCATTTGAAAAGAATCTTTTCCTGTTCTCAGTCCTTGCACTCTTCCAGTAGTGGGTTGAACTAAAGTGGAAATATTGCAGAGAAAGAGAACAGAGTGAAGAGGGTAATGAGCTGAGAAAAGCAGGGGAAATGATAGGCCATCATCCAGGTAGCGCAAAGTCCAGGAGGTGGCTCTACATCCAAGCATTCTCTTGAAGTATGAAATTTCCTGATACAACTTGCACAGTGAATCATAAAACAGCCCTAGCAATGCTTGCCTTTGGAAAAGATGGGCAGAGAGAGATGGCCATGCGGTTACACTGGGATTATCCTGTTTTAATACTCTCATGTGAATATTGGAAACAATTTGCCAAACACATTTTTATCAGTGTCCCATCTCTCTTGATCAGGGCCATGAGAGTAATGCAAAAAAATTCCACACCATTTGACAGGAGAATACAGGCAACTGTTTTAGCAGCTGGTTGGACCATGGTCAGCCAAGTGTTTCTATTGTCTGACCAAAAAGTATAGAAATTTGGCTAACTTAGCTATTCTTACTTTTAGAAATAAGATTGGGCAGAACCATGGATGTTTGAACAACTATTAACCATGAAAGCAAAATGGAACTTCTTGATTATCAGATGCTTGGAGGAAATCAGTGGGCATGGTTGCCCACAGCTGGCTACAGACTAAAAGCACAACCCTCTACATGTGTATTCAGAAGTACATGCCTCTATATTCAATGGAGCTTGCCCCCTAAAATAGTTATCCTAATGATTGCTTCTGTTATGCAGCGTTGTTACATTCGAAAGAATAAGCCTTGAATGCTTCCTCTTCCTCTGCTCCTGTTTTGCAGTGCTCTGCATCCTGTGGGAAGGGCTTAAAGGACCGTGAAGTATATTGTGTTAACAACTTCCAAATTAAACTAGGAGATGATGAGTGCAATCATTTAAGGAAGCCTCGAACCCACAAAGTTTGCAAATCCGTCAGATGTCCTGAATGGAAGGCCACCAGGTGGAATGAGGTATTTCAGGCTCGTTTTTCTGCCCTGCTGCCTTTTATGCAATACAGTGAAGAAAATGTTCCATTTTCCTTCATTAAAGTGTAGGGCCAATGTTTCTGGTGTGCAAAAAACAAACTATTGAATATTGGCTGGTCTGCTACCTAACAATAATTAATTTCTAATTAATAGAAAAGTTATCTACCATGTGTTCCAAGAATATGGATAGAGTGGAGACCAGTGTCCCTATTTCCACCAGCTCCCCACCCCCAACAAATCTTGCATGTTTGGCAAGTCTAAGGACTGTAAAAATGCTTACATCATATAAGCACAAAGAGTGCAGGAATCAATATGAACTGATAATGTTTAGTAGACAGCTGAACAGCTGAACATGAAGTATGAGTGCTCAAAGTACAAACAATCATATAATCAAGAAGACAGTTCACATATCAAATTACACAGCATTGCTATTGACAAAAACGCTGGATTGTATTTTCATTTCTTCTTTTCTTCAGAGCTGATTTTTATTTCATTTATCTGTTATGGATGGCAGTCAAGCGTGATCTTTCCAATTCCTATGTCCTGAAATCTTCAAAAGATAGCTGACAAAAGTGCTCAGATGCAATGAAATGGCAATTCTGTGCTTTTCCAGAGGAATAGTATCTCCCATGCATTCAAGGCAGAATTGTACTGGAGAGTCAAGAAGCCATAAGCCTGCAGGAAGGGCTCTGGGGCTGTTTCAGATGCTGTTCCCTGAGTATGGACGTGCCATGCAGCTGTGCCCCTCATTTCCACAAACTTGTTTTAGGGACGCTCTAGAAATCCCAAAGGGCTGCCTTAGTTCGGATTTGGAAAGGATGAGGGCAAACAGGCTTAGGCTTAATCCATATTGGAGAGGGGAACTGTGGGTGGAACATTTGGAAAATGTGTTCTATTAAAAGGGAGGCATTACATGCTGTACCCCAGGAAACCAATTAGCTTCACATGGAGGCTCATCAGGGAAGTGAGACACCTGTTAGGTAATTTTGTTTTTTGCAAAAATCTGAGAAGTTAAAAATCTGAGGAGAATGCAAGTTCTGCTTCATTTATTTATTATATTTACATTCGCCTTTTTTTTCCTTTCAAGGAATTCAAGGTAGCTTACATAATTCTTCTCCTCTTAATTTTATCCCACAACAACACACCTGTGAGGTAGCTTGGACTGAGAGTTACTCAGTGAACTCCATGGCTGAGCAGGGACTAGAACCCAAATCTGCTCAGTCTCAGTTCCACACACCTAACCACTGCACAACACTGCCTCTTGCTGGGTCTTATATGAGTAAGCACTGTGGATCACAAGCAGTGGAAGGTTGTAAGAAAGTTCCTTATAATACATGAAAGAGCAGTTGAGCACATTTTCCATTTATTTGACCCCCACATCACATATATGTAGCTGAAATGAGAATTATTTATTATTTCAGTTGTGTGCTCTCTCTGTCAGCCCTTCCGCTTTCCCCCAGACTTCTCGACATAAGATATGTGACCCAGCACTTTACTGTGCCTTCTTCCAATTTCTTTGCAAAAGGAGTGGATTGTCCCTCACACTAGGTTTTTTTGTGGGATTTTTCCTTTCTGCCTTTCTGTATGTACCTATATGTGCCATTGCACAACACAGGTGGTATACAATTTAAGTGTGAAAATACACTAGGCTTCTGTAATGGCACCATCTAGGAAAATGCCAGACTTTCCTCATCTTTTAAAAAAGTCACAAAAATGGCCAGAAAGTCAGGAGGGACCCTGGAGGATGACAATGTTGTGAAAAGCTCTTATGGACGTCCAGGACTCAGGGATCACAAGTGCACAATAAATGCCTCATGCAAAGATGAGTCCCCCCACACACACACACAACCAAACATCAGAGGAGATTGCTTTCAAACAGCTCCATCTTACCACTGACAATGTTTTCCATCCCATGCAACCATATTCCCTCAACCCCTTTGCTTCATCTTTGTGTCTTTACTTTTTCTTTCTTCCTTTTAAGCTTCTGCATCCTTTTAATGTAATTCTTCATGGCACATTTCCTAAAATGTGTGCCTTTTAAAGAGACAGAATATATGACCTTCTAGAATGGGTGGGTGCATGGAAGGACATTCCACAACTTGTTTTGATTAACTTCATTTGAAAATCGCAGATGTAAAGCTGGAGTGTCTATTCTCCAGACCCATTTGTGTCATAACTATTAACTTTATGGTGATCTGTATGTAAGCATGAAAGGAGAACAGATCCTTTATACATGTTTTTCTTTGTAGTCATCTCCATCAATGACACACACTGATACAAGATACATCCTTCAATGGAATGCTAATAGACTTCAGAGTTATACTGACAAAAACAGTGCAATGCAATGAAGAAATATCCTGTGCAATGATTCCGGACACAGTTTTGGCACTGCATTAGTCATGGATATGACATTTTAATTATTTTTTTTTAAAAGATTAAAATTAGATTGGCAGGGATGATGGCTCAGGCTAGCCTACACAGCTTGTGACCTTCCAAAATGATCACAGTTCAAGAACTGAGGGCTCCTAGCTGTCTGGCAAACCCAACATCAAGAGGCACACCAAAGGCCAGTGGCCATGTGGCAGAGACTCCTAGAGCTCTTGCAACACCATGCTCCTCCCGCCAGTCTTAACTCAAGTGTCCAGAAGGAAACCAAGGAGATGAGTTTGAAGGCTACTAAGAGGTTCAGGAAAACTAACAGTGGAGCACATCCTCATTTTCCATACCTACTATGGGTTTGACCACATGGTCCAGATTCCAGCTTAGAAGGAGAGAATTGCTGAGATTACCTTGTGAACACCCAGCCCAACTCCCCCTTCTCACTGCAGTATCGGCTTTATTGTTGATGCCTGGCAACAATGAAAACATTCACCATTGCCCCATGTTGTACCTACCCTGTTCTTAATTGTGGGATAGATAAAAATTGCCTTTTTAATTTTAAAAGGGATCCCCCTATCAGTCTACTTAGATTTGAAAGAAAAGTATCTTTCTTTTTCTTTTTCATATTGTCCCCAGTATAAGAAAAGGCTCTTTAGAATGGGTGTGGATGATAGTGTCTCCATCAAATATTGTTCCTAAGTTTACAGTCTGAGTCCTGTTCTCTCTTTTCCTTTCTCTCTCTTTGACTGTGCATGCATGTATTTATTCCAGTGCTCTGTGACTTGTGGGGAAGGCGCTCAACATCGCAATGTTTACTGTAGGCAGAAAGGCAGCGGCCGAGTGAATGAAGTGATGTGCCATGATCTTCCTCAGCCACCTAGTCAGAGGCCTTGTTGGTTGGCTGCCTGTGCACATTACCAGTGGTTGGCTGATGAATGGCAAGAGGTAACTATACTCAAAAACTTGGGATGATATTTGAGATGATTTAAACCAGTTTAAGGTATACATTATATCTGCCTAGTTTAAAAGATGGAAGATTTTCATGAGGGACTCTTCCAATTTAACAACTGATTGTTTGGATTAAAAACAATAATGTCTTTTGCTACGTTGGCTTTTTTTAAGAACTTGGAATGGCTCATGATGATGCAAAGGGGCAAATGTGATCTTGGTGCATGCTTCTTTAGTCTTGTATTGTATTCCTCTATAAATAAAAAGTCCTGAGAGTGGAGGGGAAATGTGAATATGTGTGCCACCTCTCCAGCACTGTGTTGATGGAGAAGGTCTGAAGACGGGCTGTGACCATGAAGTACTGTAACTTCATTCAGTCAAACACTCTTGCTGTCTCTCTGCAAACTTTCTCCAGCTACATAAGGTGGTCAGGGGCAGGAGGCATGGCATATCCCTTTTCCTTCCGTGCTTATTATTTTCCAGTGCCCAAACTGTTCTTGCATCTCAAGTCTTCTGTTTAGCAGACAGTGTTAGTCTAACTGAACTCCCATTAATTTTAATGGGTCTACTTTAAGTAAGACTTCTATTATATACAACCCTATCTTTTCCGAGTTAGGAAATGCATTAGCCCTACCGAGGGCAGGGGTGGGGATATGAAACATGGAACTTGCATGAGAACATCCTTCTGAAAGTCAAGCATTGATCTTAGCATCAACCACTTTGGTTTTGTGCATGCTTTCCACAACAGTTACAAACATCAGCACAGCTGTGCTGGATCAGATGAAGGTTCTGTCTAGCCCAGCACTCTATTCACACGGTAGCCACCCAACTGACTAGGGAAAGCCCACAATGAGTGCAACAGGGCCCGCCTGCTTAAGTTCTCCAGGAACTGGTATGCCTAGGCATATTGCCTCTGATACTGGAAGTGAGATATATGACGGCTAGTAGCCATTGATGGCCTTATCTTTTATGAATTTGCCTACTCCCCTCTTGACCTCTAGATTGCTGGCCATTCGTTGCAGTGAATGCCACTGTTTAACTATGCAACGTGAAGAAGTAGCTCCTTATATCTGTCCTGAATCTCCCACCAGCTGGATTCACGGTGTATCCACGAGCTCTAATTCTATGGGAGAAAGAGAAAAATGCCTTCCTATACACTTTCTCCATGCTATACTTAATTTTGCACATCTCTGATATCCCCGAACAATGGGTGTACACACAGATACTTCCGTCTGTGAGGTCAAGCCTCTTATCTGTACTCCGCCCCTCTAGTTGGCTAGCTCTTCTCTCCTGATCCCATAGGATGGGGTCAAGAGTTGTTCCAGGCCCACCTAGCCTGTCCTGTGCCCCTTCCCAGCAGCTGTAGATCCTGGGAGAGGTCAGGCTTGAGATAAGCCCCTTTTCTTCTCCCATCTTCATATCTGGAGGCCCAGTTTCCCAAGGCCCATCCTCCCCATCTGTAGAGACCAAACTTAGCTGCCCTTGAAACTTGTACCAAGCACAACTGCCTCTTTTGTTTTCAACAGCCTGAGTGGCCCCAGAACCACTGCCTCCAAAGTAGTCACACTGAGGTTGATTTGTCTAGAAAAATTTGGCTTCAGAAATGAAATCCTTCTTTCTTATGAGAAAGGATTAGTTTTGTTCTTATCATCTTCAGTGTTCTTCATCATGTCGAAAAAAGGAAACATACCGGAAGGTGAAGTGTGTAGATGAAAATGGGATCAAAGTGAACGAAGGGCTCTGTGATCCTTCTACAAAACCTCCATCCAGTAAAAAATGTAGAGCATCTGCCTGTAAATACCTTGTGATTACCATTGATTCATCAGAGGTAAATTTATCATTGTATGATCAAGTCTTTGGTTTTTGCTCAAAAACTGCATAAAATTTCTAATCTCTCCCACTAACAGTTAAAAATATTCTTGAATTATTTCAGCTGCCTTCAGTTCAGTTTCCCTCTAATCTGAAAGCAACCTAAGGAGCTGGATCACAGAGCTGCGTTTTTTTACTGTGCAAATAACTGCTATTTGTGTTGAAAAAATATTCTAGGCCTTTGTCTTGAAAAAGATGTATATCTCATGCCATGTACTCTGAACAAAATACAAGTGTCTTCTTGAGCGTGGGTATCTGAATCAGGGAGCCAGTGATGATATCAGTGTTATAGGCTGAATTTAAAAATGTCTGTTTCTGGAACAGACAGCTATTCACAAATGGCACAGGATCCAGTAGAGATTTTATTAAGGGAATTGAAAGAAGAGAAATCTACTGGTTTGGATCCAAAATTCCATGAACTGCATTCAGCTCATTGAATAGGTCTCTCTTAAGTTTTCCCTTTCGCCCTGTAGCCCTTTGCACCCCCTTCCCTATCATTCAAGATCTCTGGAGCAGATTGCTTATGAGGTCAGACGATTGCAAGAGGAATTCTGTGGACACAACACAGCTTACAAAACTCTGGATGCAATCCGATATGTGAAGGCAACCTTAGTATGGTTAGCAGCATGGCATCAGAATTAACTGGCCTTCAGGCCATGCAACTAGGAATTGCAGGAGATGATGGGTGAAAACCATGGTGTTCCTTTTTCCATATAGTTTTACTCTATGTTGGAGATCCCATATGGGGCACTCCTTTCCAGATGTTTCACCACAATCTCTAAGGGCCTTCTGTTCCTGTTGCATGAGGACATGGAGATCTGCGTGGCAGCAGCATAAAAGCTGTTCCTTTCTTTTCCAAATCCCGACAGCCTGATCTTTTTCTCAGTTAAGCAGCAGCAGTTAAGCAGATATAAGCCTGCTAAAGTTCATGATCTTCAATAGATCATGCAGGCCTTATCCCAGGAGTGAGCAATTCAAGAGTGGTTCCCACAATCTCTACCTGGTGGTGAAATAGGACAGGAGTTGCAACCCAACAGCATCCACAGGATCATGAGCTGCTCCTACACGTGATCTTATGCATCTTTGGATATAAGTCTAATTAATTTCAGTGGGGCTTACTCCAGAGTAATTGTTCCTAGGAATGCAGCCTTGGTTTATTAATAGCTTTTCTTCTTTCGTAAATACTCTGATTTTCATAGATTTTCACTGGGTTGATAGAAATGAACTCCACAACTGCAGAGTATGGTATACTACCAGATAACCCTGTTAAATGGCATTTCTCTTTCAACCCACAGCCCCACCCATGGATGACAACTATGTAGTTTTCAGAAATTCCATCTGAACAGCACAACATTTAGTTATTATACCTTCCCACCTATAATGACTGGCTGCTCAGTGGCAGTGCTTGTCAGCAGTATATATTTGGTTCCTGGAAAGCAAATATTAGGAGCACAAGAATGTAAGCAGCACTGACATTATTGTTCCATATGCTTTTTGTGACAAAAGTTTATCATTTTAGTGTCCAGCTGGTTGCTATCTTGAGTACCACAAAAAGATCCCGTACTGTGTCGAGGCCCATGACGCCTGGAACACTGATGGTCTTCGAGCAGTAGCCTACCCAGATTGTCCACTGGCACGATCATCACTGACAAACAGATGCCACATCAAGGCTTGTCTACATGTTGCTGCAGCCTGGAAAGTAGGGAAATGGAGTGAGGTGAGTATAGATGAGCAAATAATTAGGGTGCCACATTTCAGAAATGAATAGTGACTTCAGCTATTATTTGCTTTGATATAAGTTGGGAGATAAGTGACCTCACAGAGTCTCTTCCAGTTTGGTGATTCTATAAATGTAAGGTTGAATCCAAAGACTGCTAGAATGAGTCAAACTTCTTACGCAAATTTAGTCTGGCAGATTCCCAGCTGTTATGGAGATCAAATGAATGTGGCTGTCAGCAGAAATGGCCAATGTGGTTCTAGAAGGGCTGTGCCTTTCTCTTCCACCTTCATAAGGAATGTACTAATGCAAATGTCTGTGAGCATCTCACAAGTTGTGCTTGCTTACATGGCACGAGCAGGCATGAATCGACTCACCAGAGCATTCCTCTTGCAATACTGTAAGGCAATGTGGGAGCAGGATATAAATGGGCAGAGTTGCTGGTTCCAGGCACTCCATCAGGATTTAGGACTGGAAGAATAAAATGCAAGTGTTGAACAAGTAAAGTGTGGGAATATGGTGGGCATATAGCAAGGAAGCTCACCACCACTGATCATGGGATGTAAGGTAACATCATTATCTTCCAATTTATTGGCTTTGTGGAGCTTGAATCAACATGAATTAACCTTAAAGTTGGCCTTTAGTGGAAAGGACAGCGGGGAAATGGCAGGCTGGATGGGAACCTCCCATGTCTCTGCCAGAGGTTCCCCGGTTGTGTTCTACTGAAACTGAATCTTGGTGAGTGCTGAGATCTCTGGAACATCCCAGTACTTGGAAGTAGCGTAGTTGCACATTACGACATTATGGCTACTTCAGTTTACTTCATACTTTTTCTTTAGTGCTCAGTACCTTGTGGAAAGGGGATAAAGGAAAGAAGAGTGGAATGCAGGACACTAAGTGGTTCATCCAGTGACTTGTGTCCACCACATTTAAAACCTACTGCTAGACGCATATGTCACATGAAAGATTGTAAGTAATTGGCTTTTCTAGCTTGAAATTCAGGGTTATACAACTGAAGCATTCATTCCAGAAAGTAACATACACATTTGTTTTCAGGTGAAGAGATAAACAGCTGCAAAGAAATCCAGATTAGAAAAAAGGTTCAAAAGGATGGTGAATACTTGCTTAATATTAAGGGGAAAATGATAAAGGTATTGCTACTTCTTTACTGGGAGGTGGGGAGCTGCAACATAAAACCTCCTTTATCTAAAATAATTAAGTTGCTGTTGTCTTTATTTTGTAGATTTATTGTTCAGACATGTGGCTAGAAAATCCCAAAGAATATTTAACATTGGCTAAAGGGGAAGCAGATAACTTTTCAGAAGTATATGGATATCGGTACTGTGTTCTTTAAGTGTTGTTTTGTAAATATAAGCATGTGCTAACTGCAGAATTGTACACTTAATATATAAAGATGTGCCTAGTTCTGAATTATCATTGTATAATCTAGGAATTGAAGGTTAAACCTGTTTCCAGTTTCAGCCATAGATCCATGAAGTGATTTTTTCCAGGGTGGGAAGAACCATTTTTGTGGGAAAAACTGCAAAACCTCATAGCTGAGTCCCTATCTCCCACAACCAAGTTACAATTTATATTATTCAGTGCTTAAAGCAGCTGTAAGGTTCTGATATGGAATGACTTCTGATCCCAATCAAGCAAGACTCTGTAACAATTTCCTGCTGTAAATCATACTCTTCCAAGCAATTATTTGCCCACTCAGATAGCAAATAATTAGTGTCTTTGGTGGCAAACATCATGCAGTGGTGGTGCGGAGGGGGAGTTTAGCAGGAAACTGGTGCTGGGTCCCAGTCCTGATCACAAGCACATTCTGTGTTGGGCTGCTTCAACCGCTTTGTTTTCCAAACAGAAGTAGCTAGTTTAAAGACTGCTGTTCTAAAAGAAAAAAGTATGAATAATATAATGCATAGCCATTGCTTGCACTTAAGGGGAAGCCAACATTACAAAGGATGCTCCTGAATTCTGCCTTAGTTAAGAAGGAACCCTGGTGCTGATGCATTTTTAGACCCATGCTGAAAATGCTGTGGTAAGGTCTGACATGGCAAGTAGGTGCCATCCACCTGTTTGTAATGTTGGTGGCCCAGAACATGAGCAGCCTAGGAAGACCTCAGCAAATCCATTTTACTGGTCCAAATGTATCTGATGTGGTCAATGGACAGCGTTTCCTCCACTTTCCAGCTATGCTGGATGTTATTGGGACATGTAATGTGGCCACCTACAGTGGGAATACGTAGCATTCTCCAGATTAGGGATGTGAAAGAGTCCACCAATTCATGTAGTGTATATCACAGAATCCCTTCCAGGTTCCCAAAGCTCTGCCAAAATTGTGTGGAGTAGAATTATTCAGTTCTGCCTACTCCAAAGCATTACTTGGCCATGCATGTTGGCCATTATTCAGCAAAAGTTAATCATGTCTAAACCCTATATATCTTTAATGAGAGAGTTAGGGGCATTCTCCTTGAAATCAATAGGACTGAAGTATGCCGAACTTGGCTGGATTGTGTAGCTGGTTTTAGCTGCATATCCACAGATGCTTGTGCAATACTTTGGGTAGCATAAAACAATCTCACTCTTATAATACTCTTCAAATTTTTAATATGGGATAAGACTGTGATGTACTGTGATTACCAAATGTACTACAGTAAAAACTAAGAGGTGTTTATTTATAGGCTGCAAAATCCATATGAGTGCCCTTTTAATGGAAGCAGACAGCGAGACTGCATGTGCAGGAATGACTACCCTGCTGCTGGCTATACCATTTTTAGAAAAATAAGAATTGATCTCGGTTCTTTGGAAATCAAAAGTGAGTCCTTACATAATATTATGAGTTATGTGAAATATTGAGTAGGGATGGATGGATGGATGGGCAATGTTTGTGATTGCTTGTGATTACCTGAAGGAGCGCTTACGTCCATATATGCCCAGCCGCCCCTTGAGATCAGCGGGAGAGGCCCT